AAGGCTTTTGATTCCATACATCGTGTAAAAGTATGTGGATAATCATGAGGAATTATGGTATCCCAKAGAAGATTATTAAGAATGGTTAGAGTATTCTATGAGGATTATGAGTGYGCCGTAGAAGATAAAGGAGAATAATGTGCCATTGGTTCAGAATAAAAACTGGAGTTAAGCAAGGATGCAACATGTTAGGTTTTCTATTCTTGATTGTAATGGACTGGATAATGAACAGATTAGTTGGCCAAGATGAAAATGGCATTTGATGGAAATTTACATCTAAATTAGATGATCTAGACTTTGCAGTGCTTCTATCATCAACAAGACAACAGTAAGTTACAGAATAAAACAGCAAGAATAGACAGGGAAGCAAAGAGAGTAGGACTCAAGATAAATATAGACAAGACAAAGTTAATGAAAATGAATGAAAAAAAAAACAAGAAGGAATAGTCATAAATGGTAGGAACATTGATGAAGGTGGAGGGATGAAAGATTTGAAGAATAGAATCGCCAAGGCAAGCGGTGCTTTTGTCAGGTTAAAAAAGATATAGAAGTCTAAAATCTTTACAAGAAGAACGAAGCTAGGTATCTATAAGACCCTGGTAGTGCCAGTACTATTATATAGCTGCGAAACATGGAAAATGAATAAAGAAGATAATAGAGAGATTGATGTATTCCAGAATAAATGTTTAAGGCGCATACTCGGAGTGAAATGGCAAGATCATGTCAACACACAGGAATTATTAGATAGAGCAGAAATGAAACCATTAAGCTAGGAAATAATGAAATGTAGATGGCGAATGATAGGACACATACTTAGAAAGGATAAAGACAGTGATGAGATGATTGCCTTGACATGGGCCCCTGAGGAAAGAAGACGCAAAGGTAGACCGAAAATGACCTGGAGGAGAACAGTCGAAAAGGAAAGAAAAAAATTGGGTTGGAAAATATGGGAAGAAGCAAGAGCAGTTGCAGTGACCCGAGAGAGGTGGAGAAGCTGGACGGAGGCCTTATGCATCACTGGGTGCGGAGTGGTTCAGTAACAGTAACATGTGTTAACAGGAATGTATTCCTATGAGAGATTGAATCGCCAAATATACTTAAAATGTTGTTATGATACACCTAATTACACAAACTTTGTCCAAGAAAAAAGAACTTGGTTACTATTTAGGAATTAATTAAAATACAAAAGAAAGTGTTCGGCTTCAGTGGTCATGTTTTGTCTTTTAATGTATTCCTAAATCCCTAAATCTCAGGACAACGTTTTCTTAATTAGGTGTATATAAAATACCAAAATGTTTGATTTCCAAAGAGTAATTAGTAGTCAAGTTCAGGTCATTGTTNGCTTTGCTAGTCTGGGCTTTCAATTCTTACCAGTGGCTTGTAGTCATCTTCACTGTCGCTATCTCTACTTGTACTCTTTTTCCTTTTTCTTTCCTAATAATATGTAATAATAGCCATCATGCATCAACAGCTATGAATGCATAAACTGTTTTGTTAAGCAGTTACAGTAATTGACAATAAAATAAAAAAAATTGTGAAAGGCTAATACAATACCMCCAAATTGTCTAAAACTGCTCTACAGTATTTCAAAATATCTCACTTAAACTGTTAAACTGTTAGATAAATGGCCTTTTATATTGTGCCAATTAAGTAGTAAAGAGTAGTAAATCTAAAACAAAGTGCTCATAATTATATACAAAAAATTCTCACTTCTTTTGTTTTCATTTTCTTTAAGGACGATGGTGTTTTGTTGTCTGGTGTCGTCCTCTTGGCTTTTGCAATTCTAAGAAGCAATCATAATATAAAGTTTCCTTTATAAAAGAAATCATTCCTAATATCATTACAAGTCAAGTCTTTTCTAATGTTTTGCAATTTTCGTCCATGTAGCCCTTTAATTTATTTCCATTTGTAAATTTTCTTTTCAAAAGTTCAGTTTTTATTTTTATATTATATTGAGAACATTCTTCCAATATGTGTACATGTACATACATCTATCTAAAATACATGTAATAAACAAAAAGAAATAAAAGCTATACCTGTTAGACTGCAAAGCAACAACCATAAAAAAAAGAAAACTGAAGTTAGTAAGTAGGCAATGCATCCAAGACATGTGCTTATCATCTTTTGGTTTTTGGTATGTCCCTTAAAATTGTTTCTGTCAGTTTTGTCTATAGTACCTTATCATTTCTTATCATTTAGTTTGACGTGGATTTATTCAATAGGGAACTTCAGATTTGGCAACGAGTACGAGATTGAGTACGAGTACGAGTTTTCAAACCAGCTTTTTGTTGTGTTGTCCATACCGGATTTCAATCCACTTCATGTTTTTATTTATTTGATCTTTCAATCTAATCGCAGGAATGCAATTCATGATTAATAGCATACTTAAGGCCAATTTTAAAACTCGTA